TAAAAGTTTCAAATCAAACCACACGGTCACAGCCACTGAAAAAGCTTTTACTCCAGAGGCAACAAGCCAAGTCCTTTGTTCATAATGATCATTTGATCGCAGCTTGAAAAGGGATACAGGCGGCAGCGAAATCCTACAAGAGCTTGGAATCTGACTTCCTCACCACAAACCACAAGCCTAGACAGTGCAACCGCTACTACCTGGTTGGAGGCGAAATGGGTAAAAAGTATTCATGTGTGTGGAAAAACACACTCACACAGCATGCTCGATTTGGGTCATGGAGCTGACAGACAGTGGAATGTGAATGTGTGTATGTTGACAAACTCCACTGCACTCTGAATGGGGTTTGTGATTACACCTCATCATGCGTGTTGCATCGGTCCTGTCTCCGGCCCCCGATCCTTCTCCCTCCCTCCATCTCTCTCCCTCTCTCTCTGCTTTCCTCTTGCCTTCCACTCTCTCCACCCCCCCCACACACCCCCAATTTCTCCCCCTCTCACCGCAGTGCCTCTTGGGCAATCATGTGGTCACACTACCTGACTCCTTGCTGCTCAAGAGTGCAGTTGACAAAAACAGCCCGAGGCCCGTCATGTGGAAAAGATTCAGTCGGCACACAGCACACATCCTACCCCCCACCCTACAACTTCTCACTTTCTCCCGCTAAGTAACTGGAGCACCGGGGTGTTTCCTTCTTCTGCTCACCTGTGAAGGAAAATGGCAGGGCTTTCCTCCTGTCTGGCCATATGAGAGAGTGGGTATTTTTGTGTTTGCAACTTTGCAGCCACGGTACGTGGATGCCGCTTTAAACAGCCGTGCAAAAGCGCATGTGGGTGTACGTGTGTGCTTTCCACCCTCTCCCTACCACACTCTGAGAGGTGCAGGCAGTTTCTCTTTGTCTGATGAGTTGCACACCTCGTGTCATGTAACATAAAGCTGGCGGTCAGTGAGAGCTCTCAGCTGTCAGTCAGCTTGGTGGTCCTGGCCTGTCGAGCTGCTCACCTGTGTTTATTGGACAAGACCCCCTCCACATTACCCAGGGAGAACATCTTGTCTCCCCTCCTTTTCTTTTTCTCTTCCTCTCTCCCATGCCTTCTCTTTTATTTTGTCTCTTTTTATCATTCCCTTTGTCTGTCCTTCTTTCTCTTCCCGTTTCTCAACATAGTATCATTTTTGTTTAACTTCTCTCTCAGTCATTTTTTAAAATCCACCCCTACCTCCCTTCCCGAACTCTTCTCCCTACTGTCCTGTACAGTTTATTTTTCTGGCTTTCTTCCCTGTTTTTGCTTTTCTACGATTCTTTTGTTTCCTTCTCTCTCCTTTCCCGCTGTCCGTTTGGATTTTGAATTATTTTGGGACCTCTTTTGTCACTCCTTTGAGTTTGAAGCCAAAGAGGCGGTGGTGTTCATCTTTTCTCTGCACCTGGATGAACACACGCACGAGCTTGCTTGCACCGCCGCTGGATGACTGATTGAAACTTGTGTCTCAAAGTTGCTAATGTTCACTGAAGCATTATATTGTAGATAAAGTAAATAAACTGGGGTACCATGGGAGAAATCTCTGGAATAGACTGCTGAGATCTCGCAGATGACACACACACATTCACATGCATGTAGACTGGCAGAGGCTTTCTCTCTTTCACTTACACAAAGACGCACACACTCACACATCAAGCAAATGGCTGAAGAGATGTCAGCGAGGCTGAGGCGTGAGCAGAGCTAGGGCGCGGAGATATTTTCTATGGCTCAGGAATTTCACAAGTTTAATGTTTTTTGAGAAGCTCTCTAGAAAAATAACAGTTGGACTCAAGGATCTGCAGTCAAGTGGTCGATTATATAGC